ATGCAAAATGGAGACAATGCTTAGTCTCAATGCAAGGAAAAAGTAATGAGTGATAGTAGAGTGTTTCTTAGCTGGAGATATGTTTGCGTTTGGCAGCTTTGTTTGATGATAGTGATTTTGATTTGTGTGCATTTGCGAATACTCCTGTTATGTTCATTGTGCCTGCATTCAAAGAAAAATCATGAGTTTCGGGGAAGGTTGGTTCGTGCCTTCGCCTGCTTGCTTTGCTTTGCTTTGCTCTGGAGATCCTGTTTGAGTTACCCTGGGTAACATCTGGCTGCCATAGAAATAAAGTTTTCGAAAAATATGCATGCACTTCGTAAATATAGTTATTTAAAAACATAGTAGTATGCAATATGTAAATTAGATGAACCAATAACTGTGACGCTTTTAGAGACATTGCAACCTCCTTGCATTAGAATTTTGAGGATCCTCCTCAAAATTCTGCCCCAGTTTAATAAGTGATTCTTCGGCCGTTCCGCATATGATGAAATTTGCTGGACTTGCTTCGGAATTTTGAGGGTACTCCTCAAAATTCTGCCCCAATTTCTGACCAATGGGAAAATGAAGATTTTATTAAGATGTGACCGAACCCACAGGGATGCCTACGTATCCCTTCTTAAACGGGAATCAAGCGTAGTTCAGTTACATCAGATGAAGAAATGCAAACAATCTAAACATAGTTTCTTTTGACTGCGTCTGAGTTGATAGGTTTTGGCCAAATTTCTTCGTCCATTTTTGCAAGTATGAGTGCTCCTCCTGTTAGTACTCTTGAACCATGTAGGGCCCTTGCCAATTAGGTAAAAATTTCCCTTTGGCTTCATCTTGATGCGGGAAGATCCACTTCAGCACCAGCTGCCCTGGTGTAAACTGTCTAGGTCTGACCCTTTTGTTGAAAGCTCTAGACATTCTGTTTTGATAAAGTTGACCGTGGCATACCACATTCATTCTTTTCCCGTCAATAAGAGCTAATTTTCGTAGTGACTTCTTATCCATTCTGCATCACTAAGTTCTACTTCTTGTATAATTCTCAAAGAAGGAATTTCGACCTCGGCGGGAATGGCAGCTTCAGTACCGTAGACCAACATGTAGGGAGTTGCTCCGGTTGATGTGCGGACTATGGTACGGTACCCCAGTAAGGCAAATGGTAATTTCTCGTGCCATTGCTTGTGGTTGTCTACCATCTTTCTCAATATTTTCTTGATATTCTTGTTTGCGGCCTCCACGGCTCCATTCATTTGAGGCCTATATGCTGTGGAATTCTTATGCTTGATTTTGAAGGTTTCACACATAGTTTTCATTAAGTCACTATTGAGGTTGGCGGCATAGTCAGTGATGATGGATTCTGGTATCCCGAATCGGCAAACAATACGAACCTTGACGAAATCTGCGACGACTTTCTTGGTTACATCCTTGTAAGATGCAGCCTCAACCCATTTTGTGAAGTAATCTATGGCCACTAAAATGAACCTGTGCCTGTTCGAAGCGGCAGGCTCGATCGGACCGATGACATCTATTCTGCATGCGGCAAAAGGCCAAGGTGCACTTGTTGCATTGAGTTCATTTGGTGGTACCCGTATCATATCTACATGTATTTGGCACTGGTGACACTTTTGGACATACCTGATGCAGTCCGTTTCCATAGTCATCCAAAAATATCCTGCTCTCAATATCTTCTTGGCTAATACAAAACCGTTCATGTGTGGTCCGCAAGTTCCGGAATGTATCTCTTCGAGCAGTTTGGAGGCTTCCTTGGCGTCAACACACCGTAATATCCTAGGTCTAGAGTTCTTCTATACAGAATTCCTCCACTTTGGAAGAAATGGTTGGATAATCTTCGGACTGTGCGTTTCTGAGTATGATATGCATGCTCCGGGTATTCTCCTATTGCCAAGTATTCCTTGATATCATGGAACCACGGATTTCCATCCGTCTCTTCTTCAACATGAGCGCACTAAGCTAGCTAATTATGGATTCCTACTGGAATAGGGTCGATTAAATTCTTGTCTGGATGCTGTATCATGGAGGACAAAGTGGCTAATGCATCTGCGAACTCATTCTGGATTCTCGCACTACTACAAAAAAAGGCCTTTGGCGGCAATAATGCAATTGCCGCTAATAGATTTTTTAAGCTGAAATATTAATGGTACATGATCATTAGCTAGTAAAAGATATCTTTTTACCGACAATAAAAATAAATTACCACTAAAAGTTACTAATATAAATCATTTTTTATTATTTTTACTTTCCCTCCGTACCCAAAATAAAAAAAATCTTTCCCTCCAATTTTTTTGGACAAGGCTGAACTATTCCCTCCAATTACAAAACGGAAAAGGGCCAAAAATACCCCTATCGTATGGTAAATGGTTTATAAAAGCCCCCCGTCCATCTATCCGTCTGAATATATACATGACGTTATTTCTAATATCAAATTTACCCCCACGACTAACGGAATTCCATGTGTGCATCTCATTAACTGATGTGGCCTTTTTTCATTTGTCCACGTGGATCAGTGGGGCTAACATTATGTTTGGGTTTTTTTTTACCCATTAAACCGATCCGACCCATTTCTTTTACCTATGGGTCGGTCTTTTAACCCTAAATCCATATTTTTACTCGTTTTCTTCCCCAATTTAGAGCATAGATCATCAGTTCCTCTATTCCCCTTTCTTCTTCCCCAAAATTTCTCTTTTACAACTAATTAAATCTTGTCTTTTCCCTTCGAAATGTCTGAAAATTCTATCTCTTCTGGTTCGTCGCGTCTTTATGGTTGTGGTTTAAATGCAAATCATTTTGTGGCTAAGACTCAATTGAACAGTGGTCGTCGATTCTACAAATGCCCTCGTTTTGACGAGGCCTCTTCTTGTGGTTTGTGGGAATGGCGTGATGAAGAGATGCCACCACATGTGACGATGCTAATCCATAACTTGAATACTTCACTGAAGTCAGTGGAAGTTGAAAAAAATTATCTGAAGAAGATGGTGGCTAACTTGGAAGTTGTTGTTTCTGCTGAAAGACTGAAAACGGAGAAAATAATGGAAGAGGTCGAGGGAATTAATTCAGCAAAATTACAGAAGGTTGCTAGGATGGAGGCTCAACTACAAAATATGAAGTTGTTTATTGTGTTTTCTTGGATTGTCTTTGTGTTAGTACTAGTTTTCAAGATGATGTAGTGTAGTTATGTTATGGTGTAGTTATGTTATGATGCAGAAGTTTGAAGTTTATGTATTATGGAAGTTTGAAGTTTATTTATTATGTTTTGATGAAGTTTGAAGTTTATGTATTATGTCTTTGTGTTAGTACTAGTTTTCAAGATGATGTAGTGCAGATGTTTATGTATTAGTTTCTGTTTTTTTCCTTTTTCTGCATTTGTAATGTTTATGTATTATGTTTCCTTTTGTAATTCTGCATTTGTAATGGTTCTCTTTTGGTATGAAATGAAGTTTGTTAGCATTATCTTCATTTAAATTTTGGTATGAAATAAAGTTTGTTACCCATGGTTCTCTGTTAACATTTAAATTCTGCATTTCTAAAGTTCCACTTGCACAGACTATCACAATAACAACTTGAAATCTGCTATAGATAGAAAGAAGAACATTGCCATTAATGGAGTAGCAAATTTACATTGTTTCAAGATTTAAGCCCAACAAAACATTGCTATTAGACAAGTAAATGTGTGATCCAAAAACCTGTAGCACTGTCACAACATTTACTTGTCTAAAAACCTAGAACATAAACAAACATCATGTACTGAACAGTCATGCAAAAAAAGGATTTTAATGTATATTACATTCAGCATTTCTTGCTACACTACTCCCCCTTGCCCCTCCCCTTGCCTCTTCTAGCTTTGAGTTTGCCAATCTTTTTCTCTTTCACACCCAACAATTGAGCTGTTGTCATTGCTTCCTTCCCCTTCCAGGTAGTTTTCTTTGGGGAGTATGGCAGTTTTGTTGGTTGTGAGCTACCAATGTGATCACCTGTGGATGGTATCTTCCTAGTGCCAGAATTTTGTTGATTCCTACGCTGAAGTCTAGTCTTAATATCATGCACAACCTTAGGCCTCAAGACTGGGTCAGAATCTGCACCAAAGTCTGCTTGAATAAGCATTCTTCTAGTCTGAATACTTTGAGTGCTGGAGTGCTGAGTTGGCATTTGAGTGGTGTGACCGGATTGCTGACTTAGCTGCTGAGTGTCATGACTGGATGGATGAGTTGGCTGCTGAGTGGTGTGACTGGATTGCTGAGTTGGCTGCTGAGTGTCATGACTGGATGGTTGAGTTGGATGCTGAGTGGTGTGACTGGATTGTTGGTCTTGTGCTTTAAAACCTAGAGTAGGTACCACAAAGAATACTGATTCTTGGTCTTCATTTGCTGAGTGTGGTCTTGCACTTTCTTTGACTGTAATTATAATCAAATATATATGTTATCTTGTGAGTAAAAAAAAATAGATTGTGAGTATAAACTACAAAATAGAAAGAATACCTTGTTGGCTAATGGACAACTTCTTTTATTATGATTTGGCTGGCCACAAAAACTGCAAGTCATCTGAAGACCCTTCCTAGATGTTGACCATTGTCCTTGCCTTTTCCTAGCTTCATCCTTCTCTCTTGACCTTTTCACTTTAGGTCTACCAACCATCTTTGCTAGTGGTGGTGGATCCATGGCTTGGTGTGGCTCAATTTTCCAGAATCTTTCACCTTTAACAGGCTGCAGTTTGTGTTGATACACCAACTGCCAGGCTTGTTTGGAATACCACCAGTGAATCCCAACTGTTGGGTCTTGTTTCTTATATAAGAATACCCTGATAGCATGAGCACAAGGGATTCCAAACAAGTCCCAAAGCCTGCATGTGCACCTTTGTTGCTCCAGAATCACCGTGTGCCTGTCTTCACCTTCACTTATTTCAAAACCCCTTTCTCCATTAAAATTTTCCTTGCACTTTGAAGCCATCTCTCTATAATCATTGTATAACTCCATTGCATATGGGCTGTATTCACCTCTTCAACTGTTTACTTCTTCTGCTCTATCCTTTAGTTGATTCATCACCTTCAAAAGTTAATCAGTAACATAGTAAATCAGTAGTTAATCAACAGTATGAAATCAGTAGTTAATCAACAATATTAAATCAGTAAACAAGCAGTTAATCACCTTCACTCTTATATCCTCAAGCATCTTCACTATTGGCTTATGTCTAGCTTCAAGAATCCAAGAGTTGAAGGACTCTGTAAAGTTGTTGTCCACCATTGGATTCTTACATTGGGTATCAAAGTAAGCTCTACACCAAGTTACTGGAGGATAGTTCAGCAAGTCCTTGACAGCATCCTCAGAAACTTCACCTAGCTGTTTCAACATGTCCTTAAATTCCACCTCATATGTGCTCCAAGAACACCACCACATTAACTTTTTCATCTCATCAGTATTCCATTTTTTGCTCCAATTTGCTTCAATATGCCTTGCACAATATCTGTGATATGATTGTGGACATACATTCCTCACAGCATCTAACAAACCCTACACAAAGAAACATTACATTAACAAAGAATGTGCTAAATGTAAAAAACTGCTGAATGTAAAAATCTGCATATGGTAACATACCTTCTGCATATCTGACATGAATGTGTACCCTTCACCATCTTTCAATTCCAAAGAAGCCTTCAAGTTCTCCATGAACCACTGCCAGGTTGTCTTTGTTTCCTTATCCACTATAGCCCAAGCTAGTGGATAAAAATGCTTGCAAGAATCTTGAGAACAAGCAACTAACAACATCCCTTTGCATTTGCCTTTTAAAAATGTTCCATCTAGACCTATAAAAGGTCTCAAACCTGCTTTAAATCCACTCTTCAGGGCTTGGAAACTGATATACATCCTCAAAAATCTTCTCTTACCTTCCTCCATTGCATCCTTGGATATCTGTATCACCACATCAGTACCAGGGTTTGTTTCTCTCAACTCTTGAGCATATGCCTCCAATTTGTTGTACTCATCCAAGTAAGAACCCTCCAATTTCTCTAAAACCATTCTCTTTACCCTTTTTAACTTTGAGGCACTCACATTCAAACTAAATCTATCCTCTAAATCAATCTTCATCTCTTTAATCTTAAACTTAGAATTATTTTGAATCTTTCTCTTAAATAATGTGCTAAAGCAGCAGGAATAGCTCTTCTGTTCTCAAACACTTCACTACAATCATGTTCATCCCTCCAAGTTTTTATCTTTACCCCTTGATCTTTGCCATCCTTAGAAATAAGACATTTAAAAGGATACCCTATCTGACACTTGTATCTAAGTCTTTTCTTATCACTCTTATCTACCTTAAGGCCCCTCTTATTAGACACAACATAATAACCAATAACCTCCTTAGCTTCAGCAAGATCTTTGAAAGTCATACCCTTTTCCAATGTTTTATACCTATCAAGGTTTTCAGTTACCTCACACTTCTTCTGCCTCTCAAATAAACCTAGGGCATCACTATCATAATCACTATCAACACTTTCAATGTCTAAATCATCTTCGGTACTATCACAATCAGAAGCTGCAACAACAGGTACACTATCTACTGCTGCTGTATACTGGGTAAATACAGGAACATTAACAGTATCATCTAACAGGTCAACCCCAAATAATTGTACATTAGTAAAACCATCATTAATTAGGGCTTGAATCTTCCTAATCCCTTCATCCCCATCTAACAAAAAATACCTCCCAGAAGGGTCAAGAAATATCAGCTGTTGTACCTCAACATATCCTATCACTTCAGTGTATTCTTTACACAAATCAATATAAGAGAGAGGGTCTACTTCATAGCCACTCAACACGTGCACATCTCTCTTAGTATAAGACAAAGTAGGTTCCAATACACACTCACCCCCATAATTAAAATATAAGTTCACTTTATCCACCATCCTTCTGATAAAATCACATGCAACAACAATAAAAAAAAAAGGCAAATTGGGACCACATCAGCATTATAATACAAAGCGACAGTAAAAATACAAAGATTTGAAACCCCACCATCAATTAAATATACAAATCGACAAAAACAATAGCTTTAATAAGTAGGACCAATATGATACGGACCACCAAAAACAAAAGTAACAAAATAAAATTCTAGAAAGGTACAAAAAATAACTCAGAAAACATAAAAACTTCACATGCACCAGACATAAACCTGTCAGTTCCCAAATATTTCCCAACCCTACAATTTAATAATTTTAAGCAGTAAATACTTACCTTAATCGAATAATAATGCAAGATATCGCTGGAAATCAAAGGTCTTCCTGTTTTGAGCGCACCAAATCGGACCAGACAATGAACCCTAAGAAAGCCCTAAAATCGCCATTGATAGTTTAGATAGAAGAAACGGAAGAGAAATCAGAGAAATGGTAAAAATTAAGTATTTTGTCGGTGGGTTTAGGGTTAAAAAACCGACCCATAGGTGAAAGAAATGGGTCGGATCGGTTTAATGGGTAAAAAAAACCCAAACATAATGTTAGCCCCACTGATCCACGCGGACAAATGAAAAAAGGCCACATCAGTTAATGAGATGCACACATGAAATTCCGTTAGTCGTGGGGGTAAATTTGATATTAGAAATAACGTCATGTATATATTCAGACGGATAGATGGACAGGGAGCTTTTATAAACCATTTACCATACGATAGGGGTATTTTTGGCCCTTTTCCAATTACAAAATAATAGGAAAACCTAATATCGCACCTCCCCGGCCTTCATCGAACGGAATACAGAATCGCGCCTTCCCCAACCTTCATCGAACAACATGATTAACAAAATCGACATATCAGGTCTCCGACCAGCTTTTTCCCCAGATAACTCCTCTTCTTGATTCTCTTCTTACCCATCAGTTGCGATTTACCATTGAGTTTGGATTGGTGTTGTGCTCGATTATGCTCAATATTCGTTGTCAGTATTCTCCCTTTTATCCGTCTCCAACTTCTCTTTTCGTGTAGGTTCAAGATTATTGTAGAAATTATTCTTTTCCTTCACTTACTAGTCTTTATCGGTAAAAAATTCTGCTTACCAGGTACAAATTTGTGATTTTTTTAATCCAGAGATTTGTAAAGTATAGTTTTTTGCATATGCTAAGTCGTTTGTGATATCCGATTGCTGTTAAATTGATGTGTGATTGATTGAGTTTATTCTTCTTTTCCTCTATTATTTTTTGAATTGGTTCCTCTGTATGTTTTCTAAGGCTACTATTATTCTTGTGATTTTTCAGAAATTTTCTTAGTGTCGTCGATGCATTTTGATGTTTTCATTGAATCCATCATTAGTCGAGATATGAATTCCACTAGTCGACATATATACTGGTTTTAGTATTTTGTTAATTGATGCGAGCTTTTCTGATTTTCATAAATCTGATGCATCTGCACGAAATAAGCATATGCTCAGTTTGATTGATTTGATCATTTTGTTCTAAATTGATTTTACTAATGCAATTTTCATAAGGATTTTGACAAGTTATTATCAGTGTTATGGCAATGGACTTATATTCTTCCCATATCCTACATGTCGAGAAGTATTTGATTGTTAATGTTTCGATTGTTAAAAAATCATTGATAATAACTGTTTAGTGAGATTGTAAATTAGTGCAGAGTTTTTCAAATGACTAAAACATGACTCAAATATTTTCAAACTCGAGTGTAGCTTCCTAGGAAAACAGCACCAATTGTTGTGAAGATATTTGTTTGGTATTTTAGCAACCTCTGTAGCAACAATTGTGTTTTCTTATATTATTACAACCAGGAAACAAACTTGTAGTGACATACTTGTTCATTCACTCCTCTTCCTACTTTTGGTATTTGATTTATGAAGCACATAACTCTTTTGGTCGGCTGCCCAATTATTATATTAGTATATCATTGTATTTCTCTGTGGCAGCTCTTGTACCTGCTCTAGCCCACCACGAAAATGATAGTTTTGGTTTCTTCATATTTACAGATGATATAGAACTGCCTGTTAGTGCAATTGTATTAGTATAGCTACAACTATCAGGCTTGTAATGCATTTACCAATCTCTATCACCATAGAATTTTGTGCTGTTATTAGAAGTTTGAAAATATAGCCAATCTGTATTTTTGTGTGAGTACAACTTTTTCCTCTTTCTCATATAGAGAAGAGAGGATTATCCAGACAACAGGAAACAATAGCAATAGTACAGTTCCAACTAAATTTGCTTCATATGGAGGAAAAAATGCAATAATGCACTAGTAGCTAGCTCTAGGGAGCCATTAATTAAACCTCGAGACATTTTTAATATGGGAGAGAAAAATAGTGTGCAGTTTGAGTCATCAATGCAGAGTGAGGTCACTGAGTTGGCTCTTTTAGAAAATGCTTGTGTTCTAGAAGATGAGTATAATGATTGGGTAAGAAGTGGTGTCGATGGGATAGTAATTGATACAAACGTACATTCTCAAGCTTCTCTAAATGATGGTGAAGCTAATGTTGAGGGAGGAAATGACATAGAAAATGAATGTGATTCTGAATAAGATAGGAGAAACTTATAGAATATTTTTCTCCCAAGTGTTATTTAAGAAAATCTAAGGGTGCTATTTTTTTACTTCAAAAATTTGAATATTGAATGTTTTAGTGAATTCGTTTTTCTTTCTTTTACTTATATTTTACTTACTGTATCCATTCAAATGTGATACTCTAAGATGGTATTATCACTTGATAATTTTTCCTAGTGCATCAATAGCTCTTATCTCTCGAACAATCTTTGTTGCAAGACTTTATTTGTGTACAAGAGTTGTTAATTTTTTCACATCTTGAGATAAGGATGATGCTTCCTCCTGTTTTGCACGTGACTTGTTGCACGTGAAATATTCTCAAGACCATGCACATGAGGATCAATCTAATGAGTTGAATAGTTCTGTTGGTGGCACTGATGTTCAACAAAATGACGACGAATCAGGTAACACCTTTCTCTGGAATCATTTTGAAATATTAATTGTGTGAATACTTTGGTTATTCTAACTAGTTTATATGCAACTGTGAAATCTCAACTTTTATGAAAATGGCAAATCCATATAGCTTCTCCTGGATCTATTTTTTTCTAGGCTAAAATATATAACATGTGCCACTAGATCTGATCACACTAAAATCTGCCAACCTTAGGAGTATATTGTTTTCTTTTCACGCCTTTTTTATGTTAAATTTCTAGGGCCTCAAATATACGAGTTATTTTAATGAGATATACTTTTTCCAAATGGTAAAAGTTAGGGATGACACATAAACTGCTTCACAAAGACCTTTTTTTTGGTGATGTGAACTGCTTCACATTGACTTCTTACAATTCTGTTAATTTTGTAGCCTAAATGGGTCCAAAATGCTTACCAAACTAGATCTGCACATGTCAATTAGCAGCTACATACTCTATAGACTATCCTACAAATTTGTTTGATTTTACAAGTCAGTTGTGTCACGACCCATTTCCACAATAGGTCATGATGGTGCCCGACACCGTTGCTAGGTAAGCCAATGCGGAATCATTTCCATCTCCTTATGTTAATTTTAGCGGAAATTTACGTGAAATAATTATCCGAATTTGAGTTCGCAACCTGAAAGTGATAGATAAAATAAATAACATAATATTACAACCCCAAAACTAGTCTACTAAAGTATGTGCCAAGACCTGGTGTCACAAGTACGGGCATCTAGTAGAATACACAAAAGAATATCTCTATCCTACTGTCTGAGATAAAAAAAGACAGCAAAAGCAAAGGAAGACTCCATCCGGCTGCTGGGCGGCATAGGAAGGAAGCAGCTCACCGTGGAAGTCTATGTCACAAGCTCAAGGGCGCGCACCGGACTGGTAACCAGATGTATCTGCCTCAAATCCTGTACAATTAAGTACAGAAGCGTAGTATGAGTACATAAACAATATGTACCCAGTGAGTATCCCGTCTAATCTCGAAGAAGTAGAGACGAGAGGTCGACTTGATACTCACTAGGGTCAAATAATATATCGAGGTAATTATACAAACCATGAAGAAACAAC